TAGCGTTTGCTGTTGCACGTTTCATACAGAAAGGAGGATCCTTTGTTAACTATTACATGGTATATACAGTTCAACCACTTGATTCAAATGTCGGTATAAGATTTAGTTTCCTGAAGGCAATCTTTCTTTGTATCTGTTGGAACAGTATCATGGAGGAACTAACTTTGGAAGAACAGCAGGAGGTCCATTTGTCACCACCAGCTATGATTATGATGCCCCCATTGATGAATATGGTAAAGAGCAGGGAACTAATAAATATTTCTCCACATTCATTGTAATATAAGGTTAATGAGATACTTTATGTACTAATTGACTGGTTGTTTAATGTTAAATAGGTTTAATCAGGGAACCTAAATATGGTCATCTAAAGGAGCTTCACAGAGCTATCAAGATGTGTGAAAAAGCTCTGGTTTCAACTGATCCTGTTATTACATCTTTAGGAAACAAGCAACAGGTAAGCTGTAGAAACTTTTTTTTAGCTTTTACTAAAGTCTGACACTTATTTCTATTTATTTTGACAGGCTCATGTATACTCTTCAGAATCAGGAGATTGTTCAGCTTTCCTTGCAAACTATGACACAGAATCAGCAGCAAGAGTGTTGTTTAACAACGTTCATTATAACTTACCTCCTTGGTCGATCAGCATTCTTCCTGATTGTAGAAATGCAGTCTTCAATACTGCAAAGGTAAAGTGTATATGACTGTTTCTGAAACTGGGAACTGTGGTTCCTCAAATCACCTTTGTGAATGTTTCTAAAACATTGTGAATCTCTCTTGATTGGTTTCAGGTTGGAGTTCAAACATCACAGATGGAAATGCTGCCGACAAGCACACCGAACTTCCAGTGGCAGAGTTACTTGGAAGATCTTTCTTCTCTAGATGACAGGTCCACATTCACCACTCACGGGCTGTTGGAGCAGATAAATGTCACACGTGATACAAGTGATTATCTTTGGTATATGACCAGGTAAAAAGAAAAAAAACATTTGCAGGTTCATTGTCATTCTCAGAACTTGCTAAACCAAACATTTGGAATTTGTTATGTAGTGTTGATATTGGCGAAACTGAATCATTCCTGCACGGAGGAGAGTTACCAACTCTCATTATCCAGTCCACAGGCCACGCCGTGCATATATTTGTCAATGGACAGCTTGCCGGTATGATGATACTTTGCACCTCATAAACTTCCATTTAGAGAGTTTCTGACATGCAAACTTTAATATATATAAATTGCAGGTTCTGCTTTTGGAACAAGGCAAAACAGGAGATTCACTTATAGGGGAAAGATCAATCTACATTCTGGAACTAACAGAATTGCTTTGCTCAGTGTTGCTGTTGGATTACCAGTTAGTATTCTTTTTATTTCTCATCCGCTGCTCAAGCTGTTTTCGTTTTTTTTTTTCTCTTATTCTGATCCATTTTGTTTCTGCAACTTTGAAGAATGTGGGTGGACACTTCGAGTCATGGAATACTGGAATCTTAGGACCAGTGGCACTGCATGGGTTGTCTCAAGGGAAGAGAGATTTGTCATGGCAAAAATGGACTTACCAAGTTGGGTTGAAAGGTGAAGCTATGAATCTTGCATATCCAACAAACACTCCCTCTAATGGGTGGATGGATGCGTCCTTAATTGTACAAAAGCCACAGCCCTTGACATGGCACAAGGTTTCTGATTGAATCAAACACAACTCTATAAAGCCTTTTTCTAATTTAGAATCTGATCTAATGGGTGAATACTTTCTTTTGTTCTTTTCAGACTTACTTTGATGCACCTGAAGGAAACGAGCCTCTTGCTTTAGACATGGAAGGAATGGGAAAAGGTCAGATTTGGGTGAACGGTGAGAGCATTGGGAGATACTGGACAGCGTTCGCCACTGGTGACTGTGGTCACTGCAGCTACACCGGAACATACAAACCGAACAAGTGCCTATCCGGCTGTGGTCAGCCAACACAGAGATACTACCACGTGCCGAGATCATGGTTAAAACCGAGCCAAAACCTGTTGGTGATATTCGAGGAGCTTGGAGGAAACCCATCAGCTGTTTCTTTGGTCAAAAGATCGGTCTCTGGAGTCTGTGCTGAAGTTTCTGAATACCATCCCAACATCAAGAACTGGGAAATAGAAAGCTATGGAAAGAGACAAACGTTTCGTAGACCAAAGGTTCATCTGAAATGTAGTCCTGGTCAAGCCATTTCAGCTATCAAGTTCGCGAGTTTTGGGACTCCTTTAGGAAAATGTGGGAGTTACCAACAAGGAGAGTGTCACGCAGCAACCTCATACGCTATCTTAGAGAGGGTAAGTAGATAAGAAAAATCTTTATAAAACTGAAGGTCACACTCTTTTTGTTTTTTTAATGATCGTGGTGTGTTTTTGTTATGTACAGAAGTGTGTAGGGAAAGCGAGATGTGCAGTGACGATATCAAACAGTAACTTCGGGAAAGATCCGTGTCCGAATGTGTTGAAACGGTTGACAGTTGAAGCTGTTTGTTCCCCTGAGACATCTGTAACCAGTTGGAAGCCTTGAAAGATGATCACTGAGCTCTTTGACTTCAGAATGTATAACCAAACAATACAGAGAGAGAGAGAGAGGAAAAAATGTAAGCTGTGTGTGTGTGCATGTGTGTGTTTAGTTTGAACAGAAGACTTTGTTGGTTTAGAGTAGTTTTGAGTTAGGTAAGGGAGAAGAGTCTGTAGAGTTGTGATGGGTCTCGGGCAATTCCGGGTCTTATCAAAAGATGTTCTGCCCCACCGGTCACCACTTGACCATTTTAACCGGTTATGGAGACCGGAGTTGTTGGGTCTGAATGAAGTTTGTTTAATGTTTGGTTTTGAGTTCGTCTTTGTAATCAACAACAGCAAATGAAGGTTCATATTGGGAGAAAGGAGATCCTATTGTGTCACCCATTTGTTTCAAACGTTGTTGTTTCCCTTTTCTAATCTAGTTCTGTTTACTTTTAATAAGGTTTTTCTCTATAATTTGTTATTGGAATTCTTGCTAATCTGTTAATATATAAAAGGCGCACCGAAAATAAACGAGTGTATTCAACTATGAATTTGAGATGATTTGTATTAAAATAACAAATATAATGCTATTCAAATTTGAATTAAAAAAGTTTTAAAATCTAAGGTTATTGAATTTGTAATTTCATAGAATATTTTGAATCTATTATTATTAAAAAGAATAAGTTGTAGTTTGTTTAATGTAATTAGAGTATTTAGTTATACAAATCTTATCGTCTTAAATAAAATTTTAGCGTGATTTAACAAAAATCATATTAAATTTTCAATTCACATAAAATCATTTAAAAATCACCTTGTGGAAACTATAACCAGTTGATAAAATAAATCATCTGATACCTTAAAATATTTATGTGAATATTCAAAAACTGATAATAATCTAATCTATTAAAAGGGGAGTACAAATAGAAAATACCCCTTAGTTTTCCTCAAAATTTACAATCTCATGCCACTGATATTATCTCCACACCTTTACTAATAATAGTTATGCTTTCATGCTATATTACAAAACAACAATAATAAGCTTATTAACATTTGTTTAACCCAATAGTTACATTTGTATCTTCTAATTATAAAATTGGTTTGATCTTTCGTGAGACCACAATCTATTTTTCTGCATAAAATGGTTTATATTTATTAGTAAACCAAGATATTATTAAATTAAGTTTGAACATCTAACTGAATTAACATTAAAAAACCAGACGTATATCATGACTGTAGTAATGTAATTGTTGTGAACATCACTAAACCGGATTTTATGTGTAACATGAATTAGATACAATATTTAAAACATTCGGTTTAGTATATATTAATTATAAGTATATAGAATTCAGATTTGTTTTTTCAACCAGAAAATCAATGACTAAATTTCTTATTGGTTTAGCTGCAAAAAAGCATTAAAACAAGAATATCGTATTTCCATGGATATGGTATATTCAAAATTGTCAAGCAACTAAATATTCCTAAATCATTGATTATCTTACAAACTTAGCATAACAAGCCCCTAAATGAAAGCTATCACATTAATACCAATAATATTTATACTTGCTAATCATGCTTTACTAGGATATATACATTCAAAATCTTTAGTATATTTCCATACTTTAAAATGTTATACATTTCGTGATAAAAAGTCAAACTGTAAATATATTTAATACTATTCCTAAAATTAACATATTCCCATTCTACAAGTTGCAAATTTGGTTTTCAAATACTTCTTAGTTTTCGTCAAAATTTACAATTTTATATCATTGAAATTAAAATACTGTAGTTTTACTCTCTTTTTTAAAAAGCAAAACCTACATTTAATATTTTTTGGGTTTAATCCATTAAATATAATTAAAGTCTAATATATATGTATTCTTATGAAAAAGTTTGAACATAGTAGTTAATTATAAGTTCATAACCAAAGAATATAAACTACTAACTTCACTTAAATATCTTTTCATTTTTTAAAGTTTTTGAAACTTGGTTTCATTATTATTATTTTTTGTCTAAATAATATATTTGTATTTAAAAAACTTAATAAAAATTTTGAATTTTATATAGACTACCAAATAAACTAAATAAACACACAATAAAAGAAAAATATAATATCGTAGTTTATAAGTGAATACTAATCACACTGAACAAGACACACCAATGTCAATAATGAATAACATATGAAATTATGATATAAAAGACACAAACAATTAAATTTATCGTATTTTCAAAATTTTAAAACATATGATTATGAAGAACAAACACCCGCGCGGGCGCGCGGGTCAAAAACTAGTATCATATTATCATCAAGTAGTCAACAACCTTTGTCGAAACAAGAACTCGCTTGTTGTTTTCATTATGAAATCATAAACCGCCTCTAGTTTTAATCCATAAAACAACGCGCTGTTTCATTAAAAAAATATTGAAACAACAATCACTCTCATTTCCTTTTCTTTTTCTAAAGCGGCGGGTCGGGTCAATCCAAGTTCAATTTCCATAAAAAAAAACTCGTTTCGAAATCCTCTGTACGCGGTAATGCATCACATGGCGAAACGTACAGTCGCTGACGTCGTCGTAGTTCTCGACAGTGACAGTGACGACGAACACAAGGGAGAAGTAGGAGAAGCGTTTCGGAGCAGCTCGACGACTCTGATGGAGGATCGGCTAGTTCCAAGTACGATCGTCGACACGACGGTGACTCATCGAGAAACCCTAGAATGTCGGAGCTTCTGGAAAGCCGGAGAAAACTTTGCGATCGCGAAAGACGTTACTCCTACAGCTCCAGGTCAGCTCTCTTTTTGTATGACGCACACGAATTATGGTGTTTTGATGAGTTTGATGGGGTTTTTGATAGGTATGCTTGAGCATGCTCGTGTTCATCCCAAGTTCCTTCACTCTAATGCCACGTCACACAAATGGGCCTTTGGAGGTATTAGCTAAGTTAATCTATTCAGTGGTGTGATGAATGAAAATTTGTTAATTGTTGTTTTGGTTTTGTGTTACAGCAATCGCGGAGCTACTTGATAATGCTGTTGACGAGGTAGACTGCTTCTCTTTTGCTTCTCTTTGTGATTGTGAGTGAATTGTATCTTATGGCATTGTTTTTGTTGATTGATTTTTTTTCCTCAGATACAGAACGGTGCTACTTTTGTCAAGATCGATAAGATTGATCTTGCCAAAGATAACTCACCTGCTTTAGTTTTCCAAGGTAAGTGAATGTGTGATGCTTTTGCTTAACCTTGGGTTTGGATGTTGCTAGTGACATTATGTATCTTTGCCATGTCATCTGAAGATGATGGAGCCGGGATGGATCCTGATGGGATTAGGAAATGCATGAGCTTAGGCTACTCATCAAAGAAGTCTAATACAACCATTGGACAGTGTGAGTTTCTATAAATTTGTGAAAAGGACGTTTAGATTGTTTGTTGCTAACCATAGTTTCTTCCACTCTTGTGTACAGATGGAAATGGTTTCAAGACAAGTACTATGAGACTCGGAGCTGATGCCATCGTTTTTACTCGCTCAACTCGTGGAGGGTATTTGATATAATCTCTTTGGAATTTGGTGTATGCTCTTGTTTTTGATCTTGTCATAATTTTGTATTCTCTGTTTTAGCAAATCAACCCAGAGCATCGGCCTTCTGTCTTACACGTTCCTTAGGAGAACTGGCCAGGATGATGTGATTGTTCCTATGGTAAAATCCTCTGCATATGTAGCTTTTTGTTCTCATGTCTGAAATAAGTATTTCACTACAATATTTGGAAGCTCAAGAAGGTGGAATTGCTGTTTGATCTACATTGATGTTATCATATTTCCAATGCAGATTGATATTGATACATCCAGTGATCTGCCCCAACCAATTATTTATGGCAATCCCGAAGATTGGTCTACCAACCTTAACATTCTTCTCAAGTGGTCTCCGTTTTCAACAGAGGATGAACTTTTGCAGCAGGTTCGTTCTTTCTTAAAGACGCTGGTTCAGCGTGTTTATTTGATGTGGTCCATTTATTAATTCGCTTATTTCACTTCTTCCACCTATCAGTTCGAGGATATTGGAACACATGGAACAAAAGTAATGATATACAACTTATGGCTTAATGATGAAGGACTATATGAGCTGAGTTTTGACGAGGAAGATGAGGTAGTTACACTTTTTCAGGGATCAGGTATTTTGGAGAAGTTGGGTTGTTTAATGTGTTTATATTCTTGGTGTAATAGGACATACGGCTCCGAGATGAAAATGCCCTCGACGGTAAACGGGTTGCCTCTGTGACATTAGAACTAAGATCTCATATCTCATACCGCTTTCGACATTCTCTAAAGGTAGTTCTTCTGAATATCCTTTCCATTTTTTTTCTTCCTGTTGCAGGGATGTTTAAAAGCTTGTTTTTTTTTATCCTTAGGCTTACATATCCATGTTGTATCTCAAAAAGTTCAAAAACTTCAAAATTATTCTTCGGGGAATCCCTGTGGAGCAATTCAACATTGCTGATGAACTCAGATATCCGGAAACTATAAAGTACAAACCCCATGCAGCTGCAGTGGAATATGTAATACTCTTAAGCCTTCTTTTTTCTCTTCCTTTCTACTCGCTGATTTCATTTCATGCATGGAGTTTCGGCTGTGTCTCCATCAAACTGTGAGAAAAACACCATTAAGCTTCCTTGTTACAGGCTGCCACTGAAATTAAAGTTGGATTCATCAAGGAGGCACCTAAACTTCCAGTATGTGGCTTCAATGTCTATCACAAAAACCGTCTCATCATGGTACGTTTTGATTTAGCAAATGACGTACAGTAGTTAGCTTACGCTTTTGTATATGGTTTTATTAAGATCCCCTTGCACCATTACAGCCTTTCTGGAAGGTCACTCTGGGCGGTTCAACTAAAGGAAACGGTGTTGTCGGTATAGTTATCATTTCCTTGAGAATACGCTTTGTTTGTGGGGAAAGACCTCGTGGAGAGACTCATTAACCAAAATTTCATTCTCCAGGAGTTCTTGAAGCAAACTTCATAGAACCTGCTCACGATAAGCAAGATTTTGAGAGGTCTTCTCTATTCCAGCGGCTGGAGGCGAGGTTGAGAAAGATTATACTAGATTACTGGTCTCTTCTTCCTCCTCTTTAAATCCTTGTTCTAATCTTCTCATGTTATTTTAGTTCCAGACCGCATTATCTTTGTTTGTGATGATTCTTTTCTTCTTATTATGGAGAAAAACAGGTCAAGCCGCAGCGAGGCTGTTGGATACCATCCTGACCTCCGTTCACACAAGTCGAAGAGTACAGCAGTACCTGATCAACCGCCTAGTGACAATTCCTTCGCCTTAGGTGGCGAAAGAATCCTCGAATGCTCTGCGTCCCAAGCCGAAATATCACAAGTACCACCTCCTGCTGGACCATCACAAGGAAATCCTTCACCTTTGCCTTCTGATAAAATTAGTCAAGGTGGTCCGATAATACGTGAAATCAGTCTTAGTAAAGGCACTTCTAGCCGTACAGTTGCTCTTCCACCGCCACATATGAGAAATTTCACGGGTGTAAGAAATCACTTCCAACCAGTGCAGCTTAATACTCAACCTGTGCAGCTTAATCACCAACCCGTGCAGCTTATTCCTCAACCCGTGCAGCTTAATCCTCCACCTGCAGCTACCGTAAGTGAAGAGAATTCATTTAGTATTGTTAACAAGTTTGATAAATATAAAAAAATAAAATGAAACAAATCTTACCAGGAATCTGGAGACAACCTCGATGGCAAGTCAGCGTATAAGCTAAGCGAAGAGAACATACAACTGTTCTTGGAGTATGTATATATTTACTCATATTATAGAAAAATAACTCAAATTTTTAGTTTCACCTATGTTCCTTCGTTTAACAGGTGCGAGAAATATGCAAAGAAAGAGAATGAAATGGAACAAACTGTATGTTCGATATTCCACTGTGTAAACATATGTTTGTTACATTGGTTTCTAACATGGATAGATACAAATGAAACAGGTAAGGAACTTAGAAAAGGAACTGGAAGAAGCCAAAAGTAAATGTGCACTGCTTGCTCTGCTTGTGGATGCTAAGAAGAAAGAGATGCAAGAAGTTTAACTAGAAACGTTGGGACTCTGTAAAACCCTAACTTGTTCTAGATCTTTTGGTATGATCGAATGTCAATATGTAGTGCAAGTTCCCAGCAACAATACCACCGATATGTAGGTGTTGTGATTTGGGCTTTTAACATAGTTGGGCTTTATGGCCCATTTAGGCTCTAATGATATGCACGATAAAGTTAAAGAACTATCTCTTTTAAATAGTTGAAAGACGACGCGTTGTCTCATAAGATAATAGTTAGACATCACGCCGTTTTGCTATAGAAATCCCTCTCAAATTCGGAAAGACGACGCGTTGTCTCATATAAGAATTGGAAGACAACAGACTGTTTCAGTTTTTTTTTTTTTTTTCGTCAATAGCATCGAGTCCAACGACGCTGATTCGAATTCGTCCGTCGCCTTCCTGTTCTCGTCGGAGATGTCTCCCAACGCGAAAGCTGTAGTCGCCGCCGAAGTCGTGCATGTAGACAGTGACGAAGAAGATAACGGAATAGGAGGAGGAGGAGGATTGTCTCTAATCGAAAATCCGCAAGTTCCAAATACGAACTCTAATACGACGGTGGCTCCACTGGAAACCCTAGAGTGCCGGAGCTTCTGGAAGGCCGGAGAAAGCTTCGTGACACCGAATGTTGTTTCCCAAGCCGCTCCAGGTAACAATTCACTTGTGACACATACACACAAATACTACGATCATGTTTTTTTTTTTGATGAAATTGAAAATTTTACAGGTATGCTGGAGCATGCTCGTGTTCATCCAAAGTTTCTTCACTCCAATGCTACTTCTCACAAATGGGCCTTTGGAGGTAGTAAAAGTTTAAGATTAGAATCTGAGTGAATCGATTAGATAAATTTTAACATTTTTTTAAAAAAATTGGATTGTAATTGCAGCTATAGCTGAACTACTTGACAATGCTGTTGACGAGGTAATGCTTATCTTTAGCTTTTACTTTTTTTTTTTTTTTTGAGTGAATTCGTTTAATGTTTGGGTATGTTGATTTTGCTTTTTCTTCAGATACAAAACGGTGCAACCTTTGTTAAGATTGATAAGATTGATATTGCTAAGAATAATTCTCCAGCTTTAGTTTTTCAAGGTACTTTGGCTTTGAATGATTTTATGAGGCTTTTGGATGTTGTGTGAATCTTCTTTTCTTTTTAACTTGAAGATGATGGCGCTGGGATGGATCCCAATGGGATCAGAAAATGCATGAGCTTAGGGTACTCGTCAAAGAAGTCTAATACAACGATTGGACAGTGTAAGTAATTTGTGAGAAAGGACGTTAACCTTCTTTCTAGTTAGGTAGGTGGTTACTAAAAGTGATCAGGTGTCTAATCACCTTTTGTGTACAGATGGAAATGGTTTCAAGACAAGTACCATGAGACTTGGAGCTGATGCCATTGTTTTTAGTCGCTCAACTCGTTCAGGGTATTTTTGATATATCTGCTGCATGTATACTCTGTGTCTTGGCGTATGCTCTTGCTTGAACGTTTTTTGTATCTTTATCTGTTTTTTAGGAAAACTACTCAAAGCGTCGGCCTTTTATCTTACACATTCCTTAGAAGAACTGGTCAAGATGATGTCATTGTTCCTATGGTAAAATTGTCAGCTTTTTGTAGATTTTTTGTGTCATGCCTGAAATAAATAATTCTTGAGACTGCAACTATTCTCTGTGCTCAACTGTATACTTTATATGCAATGCAGATTGATATGGATATATCCAAGGAGCGACCACAACCAATTATCTATGGATCTTCAGAAGATTGGTCTACCAACCTTGACATTCTTCTCAAATGGTCTCCATTTTCAACAAAAGACGAACTTTTGCATCAGGTTTGTTTCTTTCGAAAGTCAGCTTAGGAATATTACATCACTGTTCTTCCTTGATTGGTGTCCTATTATGGTTCTTTACCCCTACATTGATTCTGAAAGCTTTGATTCCACGTAATGGCGCCTGTTGTATTAATTCGTGTCTATTCATCTTTCGTCCACCAGTTTGATGATATTGGAACGCATGGAACAAAAGTAATTATCTTTAACTTGTGGCTTAATGATGAAGGAATCTATGAGCTGAGTTTTGACGACGATGATGAGGTAACACACATTCATTAAATGATATGTACGCGATGAGATATCTGTTCAGGCCTCTGTGGTGTCTTAGGTCAGGTCCTATGCAGAGGACAAGTTTCAACTTTTATGGCATTTAAATTATTCTTTCATTTTTGTATAGGACATCCGGCTTCGAGATGAAAGTGTCCATGATGGAAAACGGGTGCACCACAAAGAACTGGAACGGAGATCTCATATTTCATACCACTTACGTTACTCCCTGAGGGTAATTTCATGAATATCTTCTACTTTTATATCTAAAACTGTATCATATTAGCAAGGATGTTTGAAGACTCACGCTGTTTGTTCTTTCCTCAGGCTTATGCTTCAATGTTATATCTGGAAAAGTTCAAAAATTTCAAAATTATACTTCGGGGAGTCCCTGTGAAGCAATTCAACATTGCTGATGAATTCAGATATCCTGAAATTATAAAGTACAAGCCCCAGATAGCTACAATGGAACAAGTAACATAGATCAGCTTCTCTTTTTTTTGTATTCTTTCAGTTCTCTGGTTTTGTTGCATGGAGCTTTGGCTAGTTTTTTTAGCAAATTTCCATTGCCTATAATGTATGTATTCTCAAATGCAAACATTGATCGATTTTTTTAGGCTTAGGTTGGTAGAAAAAGTCTACTAAGCTTTCTTGTTACAGGTTACCACTGAAATCAAAGTTGGATTTATTAAGGAGGCGCCTCACCTTTCAGTTTGCGGTTACAATGTCTATCACAAAAACCGTCTCATCCGGGTACGCTTTCATATATACCATACAATTTCATGATCTAGATCTTCTTTAGAAGGAACTGTAGTAAGTTCATTACTCAATGATTCAATGGAATCAGCCCTCTGTTAGATTGTTGCTAGAAGGCAATGCTTGATAGAACATTAATTGATTGGCCTGCTCTAATATTTTTCACTTCATATGACTTGCATAAGCTGAGATCTCTCTTGCATCTTACAGCCATTCTGGAAGGTGACGATGGACGGGTCAGCTTTAGGCCATGGTGTTGTCGGTATAGCTGCTATTCTTTTTTGTGTATATCTTCATTGAATATGTTGCATTTGAAGGAAACACCTGGAGGTGATACTCATTAACTAAAATCTGTTCCCCAGGAGTTCTTGAAGCAAACTTCATAGAACCGGCTCATGATAAGCAGGATTTTGAGAGGTCTTCTTTATTCCAGCGGTTGGAGGCGAGGCTGAAGAAGATTGTCACCGATTACTGGTCTCTTGTTCCTATCCAAAGCTTTATTCCAATCATCTCTCCATATTTTTCCAGTATTATTTTACAAAGTGCAATATTGACTATTCCACTACTTGTTATGGAGAAAAACAGGAATAGCCACTGCCACGTTTTCGGATACAAGAGTTATCACATGCAAATGCCTGCAGATAGATCGAAAAGGATACCGATACCTGATCAACCGCCTACTGTCAATACTTTCAATCCTTTTCCTTCCCCTACTCAAGGTGGTCCAGTAATACGCGAAATCAGTATTAGTAATGCCACTTCAGTCCGTACAGTTGCTGCTCCACCGCCACATATGAGAAACTCCACGGGTGTAAGAAATAACTTCCAACCCGTGCAGCTTATTCCTCAACATGTGCAGCATAATGCTCAACCTGTGCAGCTTAATGCTGAACCTGTGCAGCTTAATGCTCAACCTGTGCAGCTCAATCCTCAACCTGCAGCTACCGTAAGTGAATTTCATTTGATGGTTTAATTTAGTTTGATACAAACTGAAACAAATCTTCTCAGGATGCTAGAAACAAGCTTGTTGGCAAGTCAGTGGAGGAGATAAGCCAAGAGAACATACAACTCTTCATGAAGTATGTATATATTTAAATGAAAAAATAACTGATTTCAGTTTTATATATCTCTTAGGATCTCAGTCAATTTCCTTGTGTTCCTTCTTGAATAGGTGCGAGGAATATGTAAAGAAAGAGAATGAGATGGAACAGACTGTAAGTTTGATATTTCGTAGTGTAATCATATGTTTGTTAGTTTGTTTTTTTTTTCGAAAAAGGCTTATGTTTGTTAGTTTGTTACATTGGTTTCTAACATGGATACAAATGAAACAGGTAATGAACTTAGAAAAGGAACTGGAAGAAGCTAAAAGTAGATGTGTACAACTTGCTCTGCTTGTGGATGCTAAGAAGAAAGAGATGCAAAAGCTTAGTTAAAACGTTAAGACTCTAGAATCTGAAGAACCCTAACTTGATTAGGGTGTTCTTGCATTTGCTTATAAGCATGTGTGCATATGTAGCATATGTATCTGTCAGGAAAACCGTTAGGATCTAAGGCAAGCCTCAGAAAATAGTTCTATTTTAAGTACAATAAGTTCAGATTCTATGAACCAGTTCTTTTTCAAAGTTAACTAGACTTGTGAGGACTAAGAAAGAAGTGGTCCTGGTTGTTACATAAAAGCATGAATTTAATTTAGTTTTATAGAGTGGGGACATTTACAGAAGCCTAAGTTTTACCATTATGTTGATTTTCTTAATCCAAGTAAAATTCGTTGGATAGAAAAATTCAATAAATGAACAATAGAGGTGGTAAACATGCAGTGATCTTCTGTAGCCAATTTGCATCCCAACTGGATCCAAATTGATAATGAGTGTGTGAAGTGAGAAAAAAACGCAATTTACATCATTACAATAATTATATGGACCGACCGACCAATCACTAACAACGCATGGACCATAGTCAAAATTCAACATCCATTGCCCTATTAGGTTATTGAGTGAGCCAACCTCCATAGCTCTTTAAATTTAACTTTTATCTCCATGCCGATCTTCTTCTTTTATTGTCAGCTCTCCATGCCGATCTATAGGGTTTGATTGTACTTTCGGTCTGTGTGTGTTCATCTTTGTTTAAATATTTAAGAAATATGGTTAGTCTTAGTAAAATTATATATTAGTGTCTTAGTATTTAATTTTTTTGTTTTCATTTAAAACGCGAATGCAACAAGAACGCAGTTTCGATATTATAAGAAATTTAATTAGAAAAAGGCTTTTAAGAAACAGAATATAATATTTGAATATGAAAATGTATATGTAAAATCTTCTACGTATTTATTCTATGTAATAATGGAAGTACCATATAAAAACAACTTAGTAGTAGTGGTTTAGTAGCTAGAGAGTTTAATCTGAATAACATTTTTAATTTAGTTTAAGTCTTTTCATTCTGATGTTTATCCGGATTAAAATTCTCCAAATTATCAAAAGGTACTATCAAAAGAAAATACAAAAGAAGATATGGTTATAAAAATGGAATGGCGAAGGGGATATATACCTTTAGGTTCGGTGCGTATCTATTATTCCTTTTCAACTATATGGGTTATTATATGGTTGATATAGATGTCCGTTAATAGATTAGACTTTTCACTAGAAGACTCAAATATGCCGTGTTATTATCAACAAAAAGCCACATTTAAAGGCTGAGAAAATGACAGCCATTACATAATACATTTCTTTTTTTTTTCTCCGTTCTTGTTTTTTTAGAAAGATTTGTTCCATTCTCGTTGATACCATTTAATTTGCTCAAAAATGTACTTCTTTCATGAAGCAAGCCATTCCATAATCAAAATTGAGTTTCTAGAGAATACACTCGAAAAAAAAAGAGTTAATTGGCTAAATATCCAAAAAGAATGAGAAAATTAGCAAATCACCTATAATTGGACAAGTTACTCTCTAGCAACAAAGGTACATGGTATGAGGGTTTAGGATATTAACCTAATTAGAGAGAAAGTGGAGTGTATAGGATGTAATTTCACAAAAAAAAAATTGGTTGTCATCTTCACTTTATTCGTTAATGAAGATAATAATGGTAAAGGTTTTTGGATTTAAATACATGTGTGATAATCCTATCATTGTTTTATATGTAAATTCCCAAATATCGTGCGTAAACAAATCGAATAATAATTTAATTTTCAGTATTTGTGATTTGTTTTGTAGTTTATGGATAATTGATTTTCAAATTTGCTTCAGAGAAATATAGATATCCAAAAAAAATAGATAATTTTGAATATTTACGGATATTCTATGCACTTTGTTTAATACAAGTAAATCTAAAAGAATATAACAAATTTGTTTTCCAAAATTATCTTTTACATAATATAAAAAAAATTAGTGAAACTATATTTCCATAAATTTATAAAAATTAATCATTTTTAGTAAAACACAAAACTTTGGAAAAAATTGTAATTTTATAAAGATGTGATATTCCTTTCTTAATTTAATATCTTTATAAATAATTTTATATCTAAAGTTAATAAAATGATATGTTAAAATGATAATTTTATCAAAATTATATATTTAAAACTCTAGTTTTATATATATACATATATCTATATAAAAGTCAGAACAGATTAGACAAACGACTCTAAAATTTTTAATATTTGTAATTTGCTTTGTTTTTGACGGATATTAAATTTTGATATTTACTTTAATTTAATGAATCAAGGATATCCAGAATTTTTAATCAAATCGATATGAATAATGAATTGAATTAAATTTAACGGATAAATATCAACCCTAGTAACTATTAACATTTGCATATCTGTAACTTTGAAACCAAAACCCCTCAAAAATATTTGTTTCGTTTTATTGGTACATCTCATCACCAACGACGATCTCAACTTTTTTTTTTTGATAACCCAGTATCCGACCACAAAGCGTGATCGACTAGCCCACCGGGCCTAAGCTCAACTTTTATTTGTCTTACATCGATTCGCTCGCCCCAAGCGACACTTTGTGTTATTTATTGATAAAACATCATGCAAAATAAACTAGTAGTAAATACAAATTATAGGTAGAAAATAGAATGAGAGAGAGTCAACGCAGAGGAGAAGGCAAACACTGGGCTCGAGAGACCTCTCGACAGGTTTAAGGGACAGACAGCGAACCTCTTCTTCTCGGGGATCTCCCACTTATCATTCCCTTCTCTTTCTTTCTTTGTTTTCTTCTTTAATATTAAAAAAACGTAATAGTTAAATTTTTACTATTATATATAACATTTTATTTTCCAGATAACTCGGACTAGACAGACCTGAATCTTTCTAATCTTTATATAGGTATTTTAAATTTAACTTTGATATTAGGGTTTCATTTGGTCCGATCATGAGGTCAAACGGACGAGACTACTACTATTTGTTACCCAAAATGGCAAAAAAAACAACAAACCAATATTGCTACGGTTTCTGTGGTTCGATTTAGATGTGACAACACTGGTTTTGTAGAGGCGGACAGTAAAATGACTGTGATTTAAATTTCTTGATCTCAAAAGTACCGATCAGTCTAACAGGTTTTGTCTACGACAACATCTTTAGCTGTAGAATCCTAGTTGATGTATCAACATTTCAAATAATTTGCTATTAAAATGGATACAAAGTTTAGATTACATATTAATTTTTGTAGTGTTTTGTGAAGACTAATAGCTCGGACATCAAACATGTGATGACTTGATATGACACTGACCAATCCTCTCTTAGAGGTCGCAAGAGGGACGCGATCCACTGACCAAATTTTTTTTTTTGATTAAGGGTGTTAATTAGGGCTATCGAAATCATTTATGATATATATATATATGTTTGTCCTATGTTTTTGTCACGTTGAACTAGTGGTTTTCATTAGCGACACCGCTACGGAATAACGAAAATATTCTGCCAATTTTATACCTACTTATTTTATAAGTCATCTCGCAAGTTTATTAATACATAATATTCAAAAAAGCTTGGTGATACACACAAAAATGAATAGATTCTTTCTTTCATTAATTTCAGAGTTTTTGTAATAAAAATTAGTGCAATCTCATTTCGCATTGTTTCCATGATATATCATTTTGTAAATCCAAATTGCCAATCCTGACTTTGAATTTAAGAAATGTTTTTATAGAATGATAAAATAAATTACAATTTGAGCTTTAAACCTAATGCTAAATTAAAGTAAGTAGTTTACATAATTGTGTAGTGTAAGCATGCAATTTCATATAATCATAGCAATCTCTCCATAGTACGATATAGTATCAATCTAATTCATTTCACAGACATTTTTTGCATCGTCTTTTATACAGAAATTAATAGACGCCAGAGAAAGAATGGAATACAAAAAAGTACACGTAGGTGGCGCAGTGTTCCCTTGTATAGCCGCAGAGAGTCCAAAGAGTAACATGCGTTTTTTCATCTTTACTCACTTTTTATTTGTAAATTTTTCTTTTAACTATTAATCACTCATGTCAAATTAATATTAATATGATCACTTGTTACAATCCATAAAAAGAGAACATCTTTTTCACTGCCCCGAATCTCTCTGTTTCCATAAACTATTCTATTGTGATGATATTATATACTATTGATTATTGGTCTATTCTTCACCGAATCGTTAATTTTCTAGTCACTGAAATAATTAATGTATATACATCTTAATTTCCTACATTCGAAATTATTATTTTTTCGTTAATTATTGATGTGTTACTTTAGATAAAAAAATGTCAACTCTTCTTGATGATCATTAGTCTAAGCTTCAGTTAGAGATCCTTAATTTAAATGGAGAATGCCATGAACTGTCATTCCAAAAAATAACATGAATATAAAACAATATGTTTTTTTTTAATTCTAAAAATAATAAATTTAAAGAGTAAGGATAAATTTAAATAAATAACAAAAAAAACTGTAGAATGTTTGTAGTTTTATAAAACCGCTAGGCTGCTTAATACAAAAGCATAATCATCGATAAATTTGTTTTTGTTTTTGTAGGATAATCTACCTATTTTGCGTTTCCTCAAGCCAGAAAAGAAAAGAGTTGTCATGATTTGGTCACAAGATTAGTTAAGTTTAGTATAGACATCCATGTGTATAAATATATTATCAGGAATTATTAATTTAGTATCGGATTACAACATCGTTTGGTTTGATATCCAAATACATAACTTACTTTGCTTCTTTTTTTTTTTTGTTAAAGAAGCTTAGTTACTTATCTAGAGTAAGTGTATAAATATTCAACAATATAATTTCCTTAACAAAAACCATATTAAGAAAGAAAATCATTATTAAATAAAGCTAAGTAAAAGTAAGCGAGAACCCTAATTAAGGCATCTAGGTGAGCAATTAATATTCTTCGAGATTGGACAAAACAAAAACGTATAGTTAAGCGTTAAAGACTTTATAATCGCGTGAGATTTCAAATTAACCATAACTAATACGATCAATTAATACGTACGGACACATGTGCTGTTAAGTATAAAACTACGTAAAACTAAAGGAACTAATTAATTCGCCACGTGGCGAACTCTGGTCCATGGGATGAGAAAAAGAAAGCTTGAACCCGTAGATCATCCCCGTGGGTTTGAGACTCTGAGTCGATAGGAGAGAGTGAGAGAGAGAGTCTTTGTTTAATGATATATTTACTTTGATACGGACAGAACTAGAAGCGTTTTCTTCAGACAAAGCCGAAGTGAGAAGGGGAAAGAAAAGCTTTTCACTTTGGTTTCATAGAATCTGCAAAAGCCCAAATCAGAAGTGTTGGAGAGAGAGAGAGAGAGAGACTTAAATTCTGGGGATGAGCAGAGCAGTGGAAAGAGAAAGCTCAAACCCCCACGACGGCGTTGCAGAAATCAATATAGAGAAATAAACAGACAGCTTAAATTCTTCTTTCTTTCTTTCTTGTCTTTTGTTTCTTCTTCTTACTTTCTCTCACTTCAACTACTCACTACCCACACTTTTGTTCACTGAGAGAGAGAGATCTTCAAAAGCATTAGAATTTTGATTGAATGAGTGAGAAAAAAGGCTGAATTTTAGTGAAAATTAGAAGAAGGAAAAGAGTCTTTAAGGATTTCATGGTAATTAGGGTTTTTGTAGTATGGATATTATTGGGTCAAGATTAGGGTTTCAAGTGTTAGGGCTTAGAAAATGGCTGGGATGTTTTCATTAGGAGGAAACAATAACAACAACGGAGACGAAGAAGAAGAAAATCAACAACAAAAGACAAATTGGGTTTGGTATAGATCAAACACAAACACAAACACCAATAACATTAACCCAAGCTCGACGAGCCTATGGCAGATTCCACCAGAGCAGCAGCTTCTCATACATCATCAACCACAACAACAAAGCTTAGATCTCTATCCAGGTCATCAGATCGATGTCTCTGATTTAGCCACATCATCAAGATCCCTCACCATAAGCTGTCGGGACTGTGGAAACCAAGCCAAGAAAGACTGCACTCACATGCGTTGCAGGACTTGCTGTAAGAGCCGTGGCTTCGATTGTTCCACTCACGTGAGAAGCACGTGGATCCCCGTTGCCAGACGCCGTGAGAGACAGCAGCAGCTTCATATGTCTACATCTGGAGGCAGTGGTGGAAGCGGCAGTGGAGGCGGCGGTTCGAGTATCCCTAAACGTCATAGGGATGCTACTCTTCCGGGAACATCCTCCACTCTCTTGCCATCTGACTCAGCAGGTTTGTAGTCTCAGATTTGTTTTATTTTTATATATCAGACGACTTTCAGATTATAACCATAAGTCTTTTTGCAGTGTTTTGTTAGAATAATTTTGATAGTTTAAAACACAACCATTTTATGATAATTTTCCATCTACTAAGTTTTGTTTTTTACATTTTTAGAAATACAACATTCTAATTTTTTCTGCTTTTCCTATAAAAAACAGTTTTAAACTATCAATTACTTTTGTCTTTGCAATTTTCAAGAAAAAAAGTTTGATAGAAAAAATATTGGACTAGCTTTGATAGGAGTCGCATATAATTTAAACTGAATAACAATATTTTTGTGCGTGTTAGTGTTGAAACTTTATGTATGTATGTGTTTAGGGTTAGAAATGGGGGAAGAAAATTTTCCGCCGGAAGTGAGCTCGGATGCGCTTTTCCGGTGTGTAAAAATGAGCGGCGTAGACGACGGAGGAGATGGTCAATACGCTTATCAAACGACAGTGAACATCGGAGGTCATCTCTTCAAAGGATTTCTATATGACCAAGGCCCTGAAAGCAGCTACGTGAGTGGTGGTAGTGGTGGAAGCGATCATCAAAGCTCCTCTGCAGGAGGTGGGAATCCATATAATACTCCGGCAATGGCTGACGGTGGAGGAGGAGGATCATCGGCGATGTTTGTAGATCCTAATTCTAGTGGTTACTATTCAAGTAGCATGGCGAGTATGTTCGTGCCACCAGGTACACAATTCTATCAAAACCCACCACGATCTTAATTAAATCAAGAACTCGAGTTTTGTTTTATAATATTGTTTCTATATATGTAATGTGTTGTTTTCTTTTTTTTTTGTGTGTCTAAATGTTAAGAAATGTGTTGTTTTCTTCAATCATATGTAATACATAGACAATATTGCAAATCAGATCAACATCTGCATGTTTGTTTGTCAGTATGTATAATGTATGTGTTTATTTATAAATTTCAGTTGTACGGTAATGAATCTTTTTATAAAATATTGAGTATTCGTGGTTTATATATATATATAAACATGTGAGCTATTTGGTTCTCGATAAGTTTTTTTTTTGTTACCAAGGTTCTCGATAAGGTTTTTCTTCCATGTTTAGGCCAATGTTGCCGGTTGCTTCTCCCATTGGATAAACTCGAGAGATTCTTTATGTTATAATATTGGATAAATTATAATACTTTCATAAGGTAGACTGAAGTCTATCTAGATTTAAAGGTAAACTAACTAAAGTTAATTAAATAGTGACAACGACAAGAAAGCAACAAAGGACAAACATTTTCAAAATATAGGTTACGATTACCCGTACTGGCCCGGTCCTATATATTGTCAATTCCTCACTCAAAGTGTTCTAGTTCACAATAAATTGGTGTTTGAAAATTTATGAAAAGGGAAGAATATGTATATGCATATATTACACCAAAAAAGTGTATATGCTTATATAATAATCTAATTTGACACATATATGAAGGAACTCGTGGATTTGTGATAATTCTTCTTGCACCACGTGCCTATGGTTAGAGCAATGGTAGATAAAACCAATTAGTTTTAGAGGTTACTATTATGTATTATTATTCATAAGATTAAACGAAAAGCTGAGTTAAATTAGTGTTACTTACTTTATGTTATTCAAGACCCTAAATAATATAGCTGATGACAAAACAAAAACATGGACAATAATCTTTTATCTATAATACGTTCTGACGCAAATGATTTATTTTAACTATCATACTAGAGATAGTTTTGTTACTTACCAAAAATTACGTACCCTTGTCGTCATATATATTCCGTTATCTTGGTCTAAGAAACATGCGCCATAAGATGTGCATCAATATCAGGAAACCATAACCAATGAGCTCGTTTACTGACATAATAGAAGCTATTAGTTAAACTTTATCAGTATAAAGACTCACTCATGAATTCCGTTTCTTGTTAATCTAATTGCGCGCACATATTCACCCGAGTTATGAAACCATGACAATGTATAAATAGCCAACTTAATCCTATTTTTTTTCGAAAATTAGACAGGTATGCTATGTATACAAATCCACATATAATGTTCTTTTTGTTGACCAAAAAATCAAGAAACCATTTAGATACTTAGCAAAAAAAAAAACCAAACGATTTACATCACCTGAAGTTCACGTAGTCTAGCCTTGGGTACCTTGGCTCACAAGTCACCCATCCTCCTTGAGTTTGAACTCTCCAAGAGTGAAGGACACAACTAGAAGAGATATGGTTTCTGGTTGGATCTGAGTTCAAGAAGATACATGACATAACCAGAGAGAGAAAGAGGGAGAGAAGTAAAGATGAAATTAATAATAGTGAGGAATGTTGCAGAGATTGGAAATAAAGAGGGGCAAGTAAGGACGACATACCAACCAACCAACTAAGAAAAAAAAGAAGCTAGCTAGGGTTTTGGTAGAGCTCTTTACTTAGGGTGGGGATGAAAGAAACTGTCTCAGTGATGCAGTAACCTATAATTGTGGTGTGTGCCCATACTTTTCATCAGCTTTTCTTTTTTTTTTTTCTTTGGACAAGACTCGTATACCTTTATTTACATATACACGACCCCATGTAGGTACATTACTGTGTATGTGTGTGTATACAGGAATACGGTTGAGTGGTCCTTTTATTAATACCAAATTACCAATATTGCTAGATGAGTGTTGTGAGTTTTGAAAGTATCAACATTATTCATACATTTTCTAGTAAAATGGTTCATCCGAGTATCATTTCACTCATTAACCAAAATGTAGCATTTCACGTAGTATATAGCTCACCACGGCTTATATTTTTAGGTAATTCCAAATCAAACTTTTAAATTAACCTTGAGATCCATCATCGAACAACTGCAGTTATCTTGCAATCAGAATTTTGTAAAAATTATTTAATTAACACTAATACAAAATTTTCATTAAATATTCGTTTTTAGATAACTCTAAGAACATATCTTGGTAGAAATATATTAGATGTGAAAAATACTATATAAAATATCTCAAACATGAATGCCATCTGAATCAAACTTATTATGTGAAGATATGAAAAAAAAAAACATAAAGTGACAGGGATCAATCACATATACATATGTATATTGTGTGTGTGTCGTGTGTGCATGTGTCTCTCTTTCTCAAATCTCACTCCCTATATTTCTTAAGACCAAGCATGAAGAGGACAAGCTTGAAGTAAGCTTCACGAAATGCGAGTCTAAGAAAGGTGAGCTTAAAGCTGTTCCATGGAGGGTATCTAGCTTCAAGATCCATTGCTAAGCTTCCTTCCATTATTGCCTTCTCGTGACTAAAACATTCAAATGAGTATTTCCCGTGATACCTTCCTATTCCACTCTCTCCCACTCCTCCAAAGGGCAACGCATCACACATATACTGAAATTCATACAAAAAAAAAATTGAAGATATAAAAGAGTTCTAAATTGTCTTGTAACCAGAGTAAAAAATCAAACAGTACATATTATATTATACCTGGATCATGACGTCGTTGAAAGTAACACTTCCGGAAGATGTTTCTGACAAGATTCTAGTTTTGAGGTTCTCGTCCTTGGTGAATGCATAGATGGCAAGTGGCTTTGGTTTTGACTTGATGAACCCTATGCTTTCTTGTATGTCACGTAACTTCATTACATCAAAGAAAATAATCAGCAAAAATTATCTACTCTAGTCACTAATCTGCATAGGACTACTGTATACTTTAAACATGCTTACTGTGATAATAGGGAGAATTGGGCCAAATATTTCTTCATTCATTATCTCAGAATCAAGAGGAGGATCCAACAAGATGGTTGGCTCAATATACCTGTCAAACAAAATTTAGGTTAAAGGACTTGTAGAACTTTATTTCGTGTGATACAAGAAACGTAATTAAAATCAAAATCATACAGCTTCTCTTCATCCATGGAGCCGCCATAAACGATTGAAGCATGAACACCAGGATCATTAAGAAGACGAGCCAATCTCTGAAAGTGTTTCTTGGTGACAATCCTAGAGAGACATCCAGATTCTTTAGGGTTTTCCCCAAAGAAAGACCTTATCATTGGCTTCAACATTTCAATCTATAGAAAAAACATCCAAACTCTTAGAGATACTAAACAAACAACATTTGCATTTGAGTTTGTGAGTAGACTTACCAGAGAAGATGCAAAGCTCTTTTCTACAAGAACGTAATCTACTGATATACAAGCTTGTCCACTGCAAGAACCCCACTTCCCTCCAGAGATCCTCTTCACAACAGACTACACATAATTGTTAAATTCAGACACATTCACAATCATGTCACACTGGAACTAATGAAAACAGGAGCAAAAGCACAAACCTTCATGTCCTTTGAAACAGAGTGGTGATCAACAATGGTGGGACATTTTCCACCAAGCTCTAATGTCACTGGAGTCAAGTGCTCTGCAGCTGCAGCCATTATGATTTTACCAATTCTTGGACTCCCGGTGAAGAAGATCTTGTCCCATTGATGCTTCAAGAGGATAGTTGCAACATCAGGTCCTCCTTCTATAACTTTGATGGCTTTATTATCGAGATAAGAAGGGATTGTCTTGGCGAGGAAGGCAGATGCGCTAGGGCTTAATTCAGATGCCTTAAGCAACACGGTATTTCCTGCTGATATTGCCCCAATCATTGGGTCCAAAGACAAAGCTGACCACAAACAAATAGAAAAAGTTACAAATTTATTTCTATTAACAAAAAAAAAAACATGAAACTAATTCAAGATCTAAAATCTTACATATAGGAAAGTTCCAGCTAGACAGAACAAGAACCGTCCCATACGGTTCTGAAATCACTTTCCCAGTTGATGGGTAGAACAACAAAGGAAGGTTGCTCTGTTTTAACACCAAGAAACACAATTGTTCAAATAAAAAAAACTGATTAATATTTTGAAAGTTATATCAACTGCTGAGTTTCCTCATCCGGAAACCATATTAGTGTATGGTTGTTACCTTTTTGGGAACGACCCATTTATCAAGACAGTTTAAAGCAGTAGTAGCAGATCTCATGACAAAGCCAAGCTCATCTCTGAAAGCTTCAGTACTGTGTTTACCCAAATCTTGAAACAGAACATCACACATCTTGTCTTCATTGTCTTTAACCATTTCGATTATAGCTTCGAGCTGTGTCTTCCTCCACTTCACACTCCTCGTCCTCCCGCTCGCAAACGTCTCTCTCATCTCTCTCAAGCTCTGATCTACAGTGTCTTTCATGGCTTCCATTGCTTCTCTCGCTAACTCTCTATCTCTAATCTGTTCTGAAGCAGAGTTTGGTTGTTAAAAAGCCGTCTGATTGCCTCTTTGGGAGCTAGAGTGTTTCAACCACTTATAGGTGGTGGTTAAAAGTGGAAATAGTAAGGTAACATTAAATCAGGTTCTGATAATAGGTTTGTAAATCGTTATCATGAACGTGAAAGTCAATATCTTTGAATTAAATCTTATACAAGTTGATCAGACTTATTGAGTTTTCACATGTAGCATGTTAGATATTTTCTACAAAGACTATTTATATATTATGGTTCGGTGACATTAATTGGTGTCTACACTGCTACTCACCTAATAAAGTCCCGGTTACTGGTTAGTGGCACCGGTCATTAAATGCTTCGCTGCTCGTGATATCAAATTCATATCTATAAAGTTCTATTAATTTGTTTTTATGTTGAATAAAGTAGTAGCATGGATTATACGATTAATCTAAATTTAGTTGGGAAACTTCAATAAGTTTGGAAACGCCAAAAAGTACTACTTTCATTAGGTTGTCTAGTGAATATTCTTCTGTGACAATGGTTGGCAATATTGTCATAAAAGCTAATCCGATCTTAAAAAGAAAATATATATATATGTAGTGTAATATTCATTTACGGAGAAAATTATAATACTGTACGTATATTATAGTTTCAATTGTGTTTGCTTAAGCACATTGGGCTAATTAGTCATGTAAACCTACTTTGCCAGGTAAGTGAACTAACCACCGTATTGACGTTAACAAAATCTAGCGGGAAAAAAAAGTATACATTAGCAACTGAAAACTGGGGTGTTCCGAGAATCGAACTCGGGACCTCTCGCACCCGAAGCGAGAATCATACCACTAGACCAAACACCCAATTACTTGAAATGCAGTGATTCATTATAATGAATTAAATTTGCATGTGGTTACTGGTTTAGGGGTCTGTGTTATCTACAAATGTTTTTTGGGTCAAAATGTAATCTACATATGCTTATGTTGCTAGTAAACTATCATATATGTAATCCGTATTTGTAATATATATTTTCTTTTGTTGCTAGTAAATTTAGTTATGCGATTTGAATGAACATGATATTATTTTGAAATCAAGTAAAATTGTAGGTGTTTGCACCTTCGAGTAAAAACAATTACTAGTTTTTGAAGCTTATCATTTTTCTATTTTTAAGTAAGTGTACAATACTATTTAAGCAAAAAAAAAGTATACAATACTTTTATGAGTGTTATTATATTCATAATTAGTTAAATTCAAAAAATTTCATCTATGTTTATATCCATATATCTATTCGGTCACAATGTTTCAATGGTTCTTGTTAAAGGTTAAGAATAGTTTTCGATTTTGAGAATTTCAAAAATCAGATTAACGAAATGTGGCGGTTTAGTGGATAAACAAAGCTAAAATGTAATGGATTGATTTGAGTTGTTTTGTTCAAATCGAGTTTGTAACCGAATTTGATTTTTCCATTCTTAATTTGTCTGATGATCAGTTGGGCGACACATTTTTATTCTTCATTTTAAGAGTGACTAATCAAAATGTTTTTGTTTGTTTCGATCCCATTTTCGGATTCCTTATATTTATATATTGGGCCTTCCACCGACGGTCGAGTGGGCCCCTAACGCATGATTTTTATAGTCCATATTTTTCAAAATCATTGTTCTCGACGATTATTATCAGTTCGTATTTTTTTCTCCAGAGCTATAAATAAGTTTTTTTATCCAAGAAAATATCTTTCATTTACCTGATGGTTAATATTAACCAATGACTGTAAAGTTCATTTCAACCATATTCATGGATAGATCGGCAATCGTTTTGGCCCAATAATACTTCCAAGTAAAATAAAACCATGAATATTTAGGTTGAGATGAATTTTCAGTCATTAGTTCGTTAGAATACCACTATAACATTTAAAATTTCTATTATTTCTGTTTTATTTTTCTTGTATTTTGGTTTGCCTTTCCTGTTGATATTACAATCATGAAATCTTGGCCAAATCAAGATCACATTCTGCAAGCCAACTAACAAAACATAATCTTATGAAAAACTTACAAAGTCTTTTAATAACTTATAACAAAAACTTTGTATCTGACCCCAAAAAGAAAAAAAAAACTTTGTAAAACTGCCATTAAATTTCGATTAAAAACGACTAACCATTTTATAAAGTCTATAGATAATTTAGATAACATTTGTGTGTTCGTTGGGATGGGGAACAATGAGGTGGCAATGCATGGTTTGTTCAAACTTTGTTGATTAATGACGAGACATTGCCAAACAAGTCTCCCAAATTTCCACAAAACCTAACCTACTCTTTGCTTACAGACCCCAATAAGTTCTGTCCTGACTCCACCATCTCTATCTAATTTTAAATTTCGAAAACAAAAACAATAAATATATTTGGAACTCGAACAACATTTCTTGAAATATGAACTTCTCCTCCTCCTATCTTTAAAAATAAGTATAGTCATAGGTTTGGGTGGTGCTTAGCTTTAAAAAAAGAAACAGCAAGATGGAGTATGTAGAAGCATTCCTCACTGATTTCTCCGTCGATGACCTTCTTGACTTCTCTAACACGGACGCTTTCGTAAGAGAAAAGTCGTCACCAAGAGAAGAAAAACGTGAGAGAGCTAACAGCTCTTCCGACCAAATTACGCTTCTTCATTCACCGCTGGAAGATGTCTTATCTCTTCCCGGCTCTGACTCTAAGCTCAACGTTCCAGTGAGCCCACTTGAGCACTAAATGTTTCTCTTTCCCCTGTTTTTACTCTGTTTTTTGCTCTGTTTTTAACTTATTTCTTCTTTTTTTGTGTGAAGGTTGGTGATTTGGAAGACCTAGAGTGGCTGTCCAATTTCGTGGATGATTCTTATCTTTACAGTGAATTTCCGGTGAATCCAGTTGCGTCGATGGAGGTTCATGAGAGGCAGTACGTTCCCGTTAAACCCCGAAGCAAACGACGTCGTACCAATGGTCATATTTGGTCCCTGGAGTCACCGTATTCCTCCTCACTGTACACCACCGGGAAGAAGAAGAGAGGTAGACCAAAGGCAGAGAGGGATGGTGTCCTGCACCAGCAGCAAAGGCGGTGCTGCAGCCACTGTGGGGTCATGAAAACGCCTCAGTGGAGGATGGGACCATTAGGTGCGAAGACGCTGTGTAATGCTTGTGGGGTCCGGTTTAAGTCGGGTCGACTTTTACCCGAGTATAGACCCGCTTGTAGCCCGACGTTCTCAACTGAGATTCACTCTAACTCCCACAGGAAAGTGTTGGAGCTACGGCTGATGAAAGCGGCGGATCAGGGTTCATATGCATAATGACTAGTTTCATGTCGTTGATTCATATGCATAATGTTATAATATTTTTAGACAGACTACACCAGTAAGTTATGATAAGATAATCAGAGAGATCGTAGGTTGTTATTCATGAATTTGAGCTATGACTAGAGTTATTGAACTTGTGATTTAGAAAACTATGGTCGTTAGGAATTAATTGGGTCCGTATCAAATACTTGCCCGGGTTATGTTTACTTGGGAACTTTTTTTAATAAATGAATCAAAGAGACCAGAAGAAGTAAGAACAAACAAATAGGAAACATTATTATTTAGTTTTTTCAAGCAAAGCACATAACATACAAAGAAATTAACAACGGTACTAATCATATTGTGTTGTTCTTAAGCCGTGGAAAAGTGCAAAGAAAGAAAAAAAAGAGGTTACAAAACAGTGGAATTATTGTGTATGTGGTGGTGACAAAGCATGGCTAAAATGCATATTATTTAGCTCTTAGTGTATGTCTGATTTAGCTATGACTTCCCGTTGTGTTTTTTAGCACAACCGGGATACCAACAACGACCGCCGTTTCCGCCGTGTCCATCACCTCCCCATCCCCATCCAAAGCCCCATCCTCCGCCCTTCCCATCACTTCCGCCTACTCCTACCCAACCTCCTCCACGACCTCCTCCACCGCCTCCTCCCCCACCGCCCCCTCCACCACCACCACCTCCTCCTCCTCCTCCACCGCCACCGCCACCGCCACCACCACCGCCTCCACCACCTCCTCCACCCCAGCCACGGCCGAAGCCATTTCCGCTACCTCCGCCTCCACCTCCACCTCCACCTCCACCGCCACTGTTTCTTTTTTTCTTTTTGTGGGTATTTTCTTCTCTGGCTCCACCATCACCTCCTCCACCACCACCTCCTCCACCTCCACCTCGTGGCTCACAATTTCTACACTTGTTTGCATTGCGACTTCCACCAACTAAGGCATTTTCAAACCCAACGGTCGAAACATTCGTGTAAAAATTATTGGAGTCCAAAACGGGTGAAGACGTAGTGCCACTCATAGACCGACTCTCATTTCCATCTCTCTCCTTTAAGTCTCGTAACCCATTAACATTGTTTGAGCTCAACAACAACACAACAGAAGCAATACCAAACAATAAACACACCAAGTTTGACGATGGTCCCTCTCTCATTCTCTCCATTTTAACTATCAGTATATTTCAAAACTTCGAACTATATTCACTTCTCACTCCCTCTTTCCTCTCCTTTTTATACTATGTTCTCTCCACTCTTAACTATCAAAATCCTAAGCGATTAATTTAACTAATCTCATGCACATGCATCTCCCATACGAAACCTACCAACTTGTTATTTCCCTTTATCTATCCATCGACCAAACTATAAAAAATGCTTCACGCGCAAGACGGTCCAACGATCTACAACACTCGATAAAGGCTAGAAAACTTATTTTTTCCTGCTAAAACTAATACGTATTTATTTGGATAAATAAGCAGACGCAGTTTAAAGCTTGCTTATACTAATTTACGGCTTTTTTAATTAATATAGATAGATAACAGCTATTGAGTACGTAGAAGTTCATTGCAAATGCATGTGGGATTTAAAGTAAAGTAGCATAACACAAATGTTTTATTGTTGTCAGCAACATAAGGCACACTAATTAATAAAAAGAAATCAAGAACATATGATAAAAAGTAGTAGGTAATGTGGGCACCAAAAGGTTATTGTCTAACGTACCCTATACGAAATAATTTTTCTAAGGATGGCTTCTCTTTTGGTTTACGCTGTTTCAAATTTTGATAATTCCTTCACACGAAGATGCTTTGTTGTGGTGTTGGTTGGATCTAAATAGACGTACGTAATATACTTTTCTTTTAGGAGTACCAAAATGTTACAATGCGTGGTCATTTTCATAATCTAAAGGAAAAGACCGAATAAAATTAACTATTCAACCTAAATAAAGATATATCACTATCACTAGAAGATAATAAAATATTATTAGGGATAAAATTCTATTTGAATTATGGATACGAGTTTTTCAATTATATCGGTTCAGATAATAGGATAAAATCCTTTAAGCTATAGTGGACATCCACCTACCTGTTGTTTGCTAGAGGCCCAGGGGTAAATTTCCGATCGCTGATGAGATCTGAAGATATTTCAAAGAACTGTGATTTATAGTCTATTATAATATGGGCCGATAATACTAAGCCCACATATTAGTACTTATTTATTCTATTTGAGCCTAATGATGATAGACATCGGTGTCTTGACTTTGGGCTGATATGGTTAGGCTTGATCCTCAAACAAATTATTTGACAAAGAGTAATTTTCTGAACTACTGTTTTCATCTATCCACCTATCCGAAGATAATTTGGATAAGATAAGTATTAAAAATACATGTATGATGACCAAATATTTTTGTCTCATTGAAAGGAGACTGTAATGAAAATAAATGTGAAAAGTTGAAAACATATACAGGATGAGAACCCTCTAATTGATGAAATTTGACCAGAAAAATGATGGAGACGCGCGAAGCGACGGAATTCACAAGCGCACCGAGACATAAATGATAGGCCCAAATCCATATTCCATTATTTTAAAAATTATTTTAAATGAATAATGACTGTGATTACGTATTTGTATAATTAATGGTAATTAATTATGTAAAGATGACGGTGAGACGACGTAAATTGCGAGCTAAGAACAATTGGATTTATATTATTAATATTTTTGGCTCACAATCGGAATTATTTATTCCTGGTCCAATATGGTTGAATTCGGAGTAAAAGCAAATTATGTATACAAATTAGGCATATTATATGGTTTAAAAAGGTCTAATCTAGAAGTCAGATGAAACTCACCTCTTAACATCGGCGGATATACGTGTATTTAGTAAGTTAGGCATCGAGGAATAAACATATGGTGACAAGCAGGAACGAGTTATGTATCTCGTTTGTGTTTTCGAAACTTCAAAGAGCATATGTGTATGCGGAATTTCGTGATTCGTATCTTTATGATATCATTGCGAACCATGAAAATGGTTAGGTACGTACTAATATTATTGGCTAAATATACTTATACTAGCTAGTTGGCATATGATAAATAGTCTTTTTTTTTGTAACGATGTAGTTTAATGTTTAAATTGCAGTTAGCTATGTCATCTAATCTGTTAAGACTTAAGAAATCTGATACAACGTAATTATCTGTGGTATATCTTAGGATTCTAGTGGCAACTGGAAGAATAGTATTCCAGTGGCAACTGGAAGAATAGTTAAATATGAAAACCAGAGAATAACTAATGTGGACTGAAATTAATTTGCTTTGAATTTTCTGTGGAGTATTTAAATTAGAACAGTAAACAGTTGAAAAATATACCTACTAATCGGGACATGATTTTTTTCTTAGTTATCTTTTCTAGAAAGATTAGTTAATGCCGGAGAAAGAGTGGTTATATAACTTACCGACCACTGTGTGTGCTTAATTAACTCAAAACAAAGAGATTTTAAATGTGGAGAATATGTTTAAAATGAAAAAAACTTATACACGGTATATGTGCATGTTAAAGTGAGACTATATACAAAATATTTTAAAATTTATAACGTTACTTTACACGAAAAGAAATGGTTTCTTGTTGAAAAGTTTGATGGTCTTAGATAGACAAAAGTAATGTGCTTTTTTATCACTTTTTAGTGAAGACTAAAAACAAGTGTTTGATTCAGTAACATTAGTGTTTTTTTCTTTCAGATACAGAAATTAACAGGAAATGCTCGAGAAAGAGAAAATTTAACTTTAATTAGTCTAGCTAGCACCATTTTCTTTCTCCGTTAGCAAACAATAAGTAAAAAAAACAGTATTTAGATTAATATATTTCAGTCACTAAAGTTAAATAATGAAGTTGGTAAGAAGTAAGAACAGACACAAAAAATGACACGAAGTTGGTAAGGTCAGACTATTAAGAGAATGGATATATATTCGATTTAATTAGGGATATATATTCGATTTAATTAGGTATATTACTACAAAAGATGTCCAGCTAATTAGGAACGCGATATCAAAATCAATGTCAACATGGTCCCACGTTTGATCATATTCAGCCGAGCAGTAAACTAAAAACGTGGCTACATAAAATAATGTTAAATTTGTGCTAACACACACATTTTACCGCTGCGTTACAAGTATACCGTTTTCGTATAGTTACTAATCACACAGTAAATACAGAAAGCGTTACTAAAATTGTTACTCTCAGATGTTTTTGTATTGTTTTCATTTACTTCTACAGTTTTTCATTATCACTAACCTTCTAACCGCAAATAGAATGTTATTAAGAACGTTACACCCAATTCTTTGTTACATCTGAGAAAACATTACGCTTAGCGTTCTTGTATTTACTTTTACAGCTTGTAATTATTCACTAATTACTCTTTCTTACCGTGAAAGAAAGTGTAACTAAGTACACCAATCTGTGAGATGACATAGTTCCACTGCTCACTAAAAGGCGAAGCAAAATTGAACTATTCCTGCTTTGGTATGTCTTTCAAACCACTCTATAGGCAATTTGGACTGAACGTAATGGGTGAAGATTTGGATAAGACCACAAGACTGCATCGGGACTTATCAACCACTACCACAATTCAATCTACCAAAGAGCTATGAAAACTTGGTTTTTCTTTAAATGATTCTTTTCCCTAATGTAAAGCAAAGTTTAATTCTCTTTTGTGCTTCAAACAAGTTGTAAACATTATTTTTTTGGTTAAATTAATTTAACATTTTTTCAAAAAAAGAAAAGAAAAAAAAGAAAGTGTAACTAAAACGTTACTTTGTTACCTTTGAGAAAAACGTTTACACTCAGCGTTCTTGAATTTACTTTTTCAGCTTGTAATTATTCACTAATTACGCTTTCTGACCGTAACAGAAATTAAAAACGTACACCCAACTTTGTTGCCTTCGATCGAGAGCCCGTTTTCGAATTCCATACCACACTAGTTACAAATCTTTACCTTTCTCTCGTGCAGCAATTGTGTGGTGTCTAAACTGTACAGGTTTCTAACAGCTGATATGAATATTGTAATGTGATAGTATTTGAACCACACAAGCGTGGTCACCTGGTAATCGGAGTTGTCAACCAACTGTTTGTGGTCAGTATATTAAGCTTAGAGCTATTAATTAATAGTGATAATTTCTTAATAGACCTTGTGGATATAGTAATGTTGAAAAGTAGAAAACTACAATTGTTCTACTACACACTTGTAGAAAAATAGCTGTTGAAATTGGTAATTGTTATACTTGATTGTTTTAAGTTATTATGTTATTTAGGAAAAGGTTATATTTATATATACCACCAATTTATTCTAGGTGAGCCAAGTAGTCATTAATATTTCAACAGCTATTTTTTTTTATAATCTCACCCTCTCCTTAATTAAAAATCCACTAAGTACCAATAACGATTCATTATATTTCTATAAATGCAAGTATATCCATTAAAATCCGTCTGTATATTATTTATTTCCATAAACAAAAATAAGAACAAGTAGAAAGGAGGTGTATGTATATATATATATATATATATATATATCACGAAAATGAAGTCACGTATAAAATTATAAATATGTCAATAAATGGGACCACACTTTGATTATAAAACCTACCTTTCGTAACACATCCCAAAATGGCGAACTTTGCCTGATCAGTTCAATTCCTGAGACCTTCCACAAACAATAAAAAAAAACATTTCCAAAAAAAAAAAAAAAACTAATTAATATGGAGTCTTCTATATCACAGACACTAAGCCAAGTATTAGATCCCACCACGGGAATTCTCATTGTCGTCTCCCTATTCATCTTCATCGGCCTCATCACACGGAGACGAAGGCCTCCGTACCCACCCGGTCCACGTGGTTGGCCCATCATAGGCAATATGTCAATGATGGACCAACTTACGCACCGTGGGTTAGCCAACTTAGCTAAAAAGTACGGTGGCTTGTGCCATCTCCGCATGGGATTTCTCCACATGTACGCCGTTTCATCACCAGACGTGGCTAAACAAGTCCTTCAAGTCCAAGACAGCATCTTCTCAAACCGACCAGCAACCATAGCTATAAGCTATTTGACTTATGACCGAGCCGACATGGCGTTTGCTCACTACGGACCGTTTTGGAGACAGATGAGGAAAGTTTGTGTCATGA